CCAAAGTCACTTGGTTATTGCATCCTGTCCTGGCATTGGGGTCTTAGCATTGAGAGATGGAGCCGGCGAAGTGAGGGCTGAGTGCTCAGAAGGAAGGGCGCAGAGGCAGTGGGAAGGGGCTGCTAGGGTTCTCCCCACACCATCTGTGTGCAGCCAGCCTGGACCTGACACTGCTGACCATTAGTGCTCACAGAACACTCAGTGATTATGTCCTGTCCCCTGGTATGTGTCTATGCATCAGGGCACATCTTTGGCAGGGCACCTGGGGCTCTGGCTTGAGAGTTTGGGGGCTCTGTAGGAATGACTACTGGCAGTGTGTGGCTGTGCTTTGTGGTAATGGAGCTTTGTCCCTCTCTGGCTGTGATTCTAGAATGTTTGAGGGTCCAGATTTGGAGGCTGAGCCTTGCATGCTCAGTACTGTTGGGGCCAAGACAGCAGACATCCTAGGGGTGTCCTGGGTGCCGTGTCATCTTGCAGTGCTGACAGGCACTAGGAGGAGAGGGAGGGTCACGGAGAGGGACACACAGGCAAAACCAATGCAAGAAGCAGTACTGGAGATTTATTGCAGCAGATGTGAACCAGGGCCCTGAGGTGCCCTCCACCATGGTGCCCACTCCCACTGGATCCTGCCAGTGTCAGGCTGAGGCCTATCACACCTGCACACAGTCGTGTTTTAGAAGCTGAATGGTGTTCTTCCAGGGAACTTCAAGGATCTCAAAGTTGCAGTGCAGCTTCTGTGTAGAGAGCATGGTGGACAAGGGGGGGGTGAGCCTGGTCCCCATCTGTCTCCTCCAAGCAGCCAGCCTGCCACATCTCTCTGGGGCTAGAGACAGACATCAGTGGTCCCAGGATAGTCAGATGGCCCTAGCTGATCCCAGATCTTTCCAGGCAACTCCCACGGCAAGAGGCCCAGACTCTCCTTACCCAACCCTGGCCTGCAGGTGGAATCATGAAAAAGCCAGACACGACTGGTTCATCCAGGCCTCTGCCTGACCAGACTAGTCAAGATGGAAAAGCTGAAGGTCTTGGGTTCTGCACGGGACTGGGCTGGGGCTTCTGCAGTTACCTCCCATTTCACGCCTGTGGCCAGGGGGCAGGTTGTGAGGTCCATGTGGTCACCAGAGACCCTGGTATTTGTGCACTCTTCATGTCCAGTCAGGTACTTGACGTCCAGCTGCCAGCTGGAGACAAGGCAGGTCAGGTCAGAGGTGCTTAGGCTAGATGTTCGTGTCTTGTCTCCTTCCAGTGTCTCCCACTGCCCAGGCCAGTACAGTGTTCTGGTTCAAGGACTCAGACTTGGAGTAGGGGGCTCTTGGAAGGAGCAGAGGCCTGGGAAGTTAAGACAGTCATGCACCTTCCTGAGGCACAGGTAGACATGTTGGAGAGGCAGTCTCTGTCCCTTCTGGCAAGGAGAAGTATGTTAGGTAAGATGTTTGATTCAAGGTTACAGTCAGCTTTAAAATTTAGGCTTCTCTCTTTTTTTTTTTCGGTCATAGAATTTGGCATTTGTGTGGTTTCTTCAAGATATTTTGAATATTCTGATATTCTGGTTGCTATTTTAGTGGCCCTTCACCTGACACCAGGACAGTTCCTACTGGCCTGCCTAACTGCACCTTGCTTTGAACCTTGGAGATGTGGGTACCATAAGTGTTGCCACAGGACTGGAGAAATAGCTCAGCAGTTAAGAGCACTGACTGCTCTTGCAAAGGACTTGGGTTCGATTCCCAGAACTCACATGGTGGCTAATAACCATCCGTAACTCCAGTTCCAGGGAATCCGATGCCTTCTTCTGACCTCCGTGGGCATTGCACGACATAGATGCCCTTACACACATGTAGGTAATATGCTCATATACATAAAATAAAAATAAAATATTTTTTAAAAAAGAAGTGTTGTCACTAGGGAAGATGTGGTGGTGCACGCCTTTAGTCCCAGCTCTCGGGAGGCAGAGGCAGGTGGATCTCTGTCAGGCCAGCCTGGTCTACATAGCTTCCAGGCCAGCCAGGGCTGCATAGAGACCCTGTAACAAAAACAGAAGAAAAACAGTGTCACTGGTCATGGGCCCCTACTGAGGGCACCTCCTGCCTATTCCAGGGCAGGCCATTTACCCCATCTAGACCCAGCCTTGAGTGACCTCTCATCCATTCCAATATCGGATTAGTTTTTGATGCATCACCTAATTATTCAATTCTCAGGTCTTGTCTGTTTTGTTTTTGTGGGGTTTTTTTTTGGGGGGGGGCAGTCTTTTTTGCTTGTTTTGAGACAGGATCTCACTAAGTAGCTCTAGCTGGCCTGGAACTCTCTATGTAGACCAGGCTGACCTCAAACTTACAGAGATCCACCTGCCTCTGTCTCCTGAGTATCATACCAGCTTTTTTAAAAAATGTATTTTAGCCGGGTGTGGTGGCGCACGCCTTTAATCCCAGCACTCGGGAGGCAGAGGCAGATTCTTCCAAATGCTTCCATTGCACTAGCTGTGAGGTTTTTCCCTGCTGCAGTTTCAACTCCGTGTCCCTCTCACCCTGAGAACCCTCAGCACTGTGCTGTCAGGGTCTCACAGCCTTAGCAGCTGGGAATGCTTCTGAAGCTCTAGGTGCAGGTGTTGGGGAGTTTCTCTCTGGCAGTCCTGTAATGGAATTGCTGGCTCACCGGGTGTGTCAGTTTTGCAAAGTAACACTCAACTGTTTTCCCAGAGTGCTCAAAGCAATTTACTCCCACCAACCAGGGATCAGTTCCTGTTGCTCCATTGAGATCTGTGTCGATCAGGTGGACATTGATGACTCTTGTTTTTCTGATCTCCAATAGTGAAACTTTTCGCAGGCTCTTTTCTTCTCTGGAGCTGCCTTTCAGATTTTCTCCCAGGTTTCCTTTCTTTGTGCTACAGTAGTAGGGATTGAACCCAGGGCCCCATGCATTCGGGGCAAGCGTTCTACCAGAGCTGGATCCCTTTTCTCTTTTGTGAGTGGGTACATGCACCTGTGTATGCAGAGGCCAGAGGACGCTGGTGTCTTCCTGTCACATTGCACCTTATTTTTTTGAGCAGGGTCTCTCACTGAATCTGAAGCTGACCCTTTCAGTTAGTCTGGCTGGCCAGTGAACTCAGATCTGCCTGTTTCCACCTCTAAAGCTGGAGTTACAGGCACACAGATCTGTGCCTTTTACAGGGGTGCCAAGGATTTGAACTCTGCTCATTTGCTTTCGCAGTAAGTGCTCACTCACTGAGCCATCACCCTGCCCCCATTTTAATTTTTTGAGCTAGGATCTCATGTATTCTAGGCTGGAATGGAACTTGCATTGTAGTGAAGACTAACCTTGAACTTCCAATCTTCCTGCTGGGATTACAGATGCACCCCACTACAAGCACTCTAAAAAAATCCCATCCCATCTTTTCTAATTTTTTAAATATTTTATTCTTACTTTGTGTATGAGTGTATTATCTGCATGTATGTTAAGTGCATCTGTGTCATGCAATGCCAGAGGTCAGAGGGCGCTAGATCCCCTTGAACTGGCATGTTAACTGCCATGTGGGTGCTGGGAATCAAACCCAGGTCCTCTGCAAGAGTAGCCAGTACTCTTAAAAGCTGAGCCATCTCTCCAGTTCCCTTCCCCTTTTTAAAAAATTATTTTTATGTGCATGAGTGTTTTCCGTGCGTGCATTTAAGTGCACCACATGCACAAAATGCCCCCAGAGGCCAAAGGAGAATGTCCGTTAAAACCCCTGGAACTGGAGTTACAGAGGATTGTTAGCTGCTATGTGCGTGCTGGGCACCAAACCCAGGTCCTCTCCAAGCGCAGTCAGTGCTCATAACCACTGAGCCAGCTCTCCAGCACCCCATCTTTCTCTTGAGTACAGCTCTACATGGACTATGGGTAAGGTGGTTTAAACTGAATGTCCTCTCCCACTCTGTGCTTGTCTCTGCCTGGGTTTTATATTGTTTGTACTATTGAGGGAGTCCATTTGATTAACATTTTTTCTTTTTTTTTTTTGAGACAGGGTCTCCTTGTAGCCCCAGCTGGCCTGGATTCGCTACAGAGACCAGGCTGGCCTTGAACTCACAGAGATCCTCCTGCCTCTGCCTCCCAAGTGCTGGGCTTAAAGGTGTGCACCATCACGCCCAGCTGATTTTCTTAATCATGATTATCATCAAAAATGTCTCATACTGTAGTCTTGTACTTAGTATTTGTCAGGTCTGCCTTCCCAGACTGTAAACATGTAGAAAACCATTTTGATTGTATTAGAAGCAACTTTGCTGCTCAAGGATGCTCTGCTGAAGAAACAACCACCAAGCAGGAAAGGGTGTTGCACAGCATTTCATTACACCCACAACCCTCACTATCCATTTGAGGAAACTGAGGCTCAGAGAGGCTAACATGACCAAGGAACACAGCCTCCCGAATTACAGTCTGAGTTCAAGTAGTAAGTTCTCTGGGCCCATTTCTTCACCTCTAGAAGAAATCAATGGCTTATTATTGTAGAAGGAAAAATATTCCCCCAAAGATTTTAGCTTCAGGATTGGTTCCTAAGTGCTCAAAAGGAATAGGCCTGAAACACACATTTCAAGTTTAACTGCTTGCTTCCATTTCTGAGATGGCTGGACAAACACCAAGCACCTCACCTGTGCTTTCCAGAGGCCAAGAGAGCACATGGTATGACTGGCAGGTGAACTCTTACCCACATCCTAGCCACCTCTTCCTGGTGCCTTTGACGCCCACAGGCTTTCCCACCAGGTGCTGCCTAGACCAAATGTTGACTTGACATCTGGAAGCACACAGCCTACGTGGCTCCCAGGAAATCAACCCACACTCTCTCACATATTTAGGAATTGGGACACTCCAGGGCACCTGCCCAAGGCCCACAAGGCTTGGGTGGCTCCCTCTTGGGAGTGGAAAAGGAAGCTGCCAGTTTCGGTCGGCCCTGATAAGGAGTGAGGTAGACATGTTCAGTCCTTGGAGAAGCAGCAACTCCCAGGCCACTTGGTCCCAACACAAATGCCCAGTCATGAAGGCCACTGACTTTATTGACTTAAAAAGCTTTATAACAACAGTGACTGTTCTGCCAAAAAAGGGAGCCAAATGGCATCCAACAGATTGGGAAGGGAGGAACTGTAGGGGAGGGAGGAGGTGGGCAATGCATGCAGGGGCAAGAATTTCAAAAAGGCTGAAATGTTGAGGGGAGAGAACTCCCAAAAGACCCTGGAGTACACAGGTTGAGTATAACAGCAATCTCTTCCTTTGTGAAGACAGGAAGGAGCCCCACATGACTGCAAACTCTGGAGACTGGACACTGGGGCTGGGGGTTGTGGGGTCCCCAGGAAACATCACAAGAAGGCATCACACCATTCTCGAAGGCACCCAAAGCAGTCCCGGGACTGCTTGGCATTGGCACCACACGTGTCCTTCAGCCATTCCCGGAAGAGATCTTCGTCTTTCTTTAGCACTAGAAACTGGCCAAGGACCACATAGGCCTAAAAAACAGGAAAGGGCATGTATTAGGTCCTGTGGGGTCAAGAGCAGGAAGAGTGACAGCACCCTGACCGGGCCAGATCTTGTCTCTGAAGTTAAGGGGGGGTCAACCTGGTGAGTACTTGGGAGGGCAAGGTCATTTTTGTTTCAGTTCTGGTTTTTTGTAGCCTAGGCTGACATCAAAAGCATGAACCACTGTGCCTGGTTTCACTTCTGTGAAATTTAGAAGAGACCTTCTAAGCAGTAGTGCATTTCTTTAATCCCAGCACTCGGGGGAATCTCTGAGTTTGAGGCCAGCCTGATCAGAGTTCCAGGCCAGCCAGGGCTACAGTGAAACATCTTAAAACAAATACAAACAAAGGAACCTCATCTACTGTACAGAACAAACCACTTTAAATTATCTACCACTATCTGCACCCCATACCCCAATCCTCCTCTTCCTCACTCCCAACGTCTGGACAGGTTTGTTGCCGACTCACTCCTAGCCCTCCCTGGCATTCCAGCCTCCCCACACCTTGTCAAAACCCCTTTCCTCCAGCTTCTTGCCCAGGACTTCACCAATCCCGGCCAGGCTCCCCACTGGCTTATCCCCCATGGGCTCTGCCACGAAGTCTCGGTGCTTTTGGGAGGTTGTCATCTTGATCAGGCTTAACCTGGGAATCCCAAAAAAAAGCAGGTTAGGGCTGAAGACTACAACTCCCAAGGGCAATCTCCTATTTAAAAACTAGATCAGGGCTGGAGACATGACTCAGCAGCTAAGAGCACTGGTTGCTCTTCCAGAGGACCTGGGTTCGATTCCCAGCACCCATTTGGCAGCTAACAACCGTCTATAACTCCAGTTCCAGGGAATCCGACACCCTCCTCTGACTTCCGCTGGCACTGCATGACACAGGTGCACTTACACACATGCAGGCAATACACTCATAAATAAAATTAGAATAATAAATAAAAGTTAGCTCAGTCATTATGGTTGCTCCCTTCATTTCCCTTCATTGCACACAAGAGAAAACCGAGGGCCAGCCAGGGAAAGGCTTTTCTCCACTATTTGGAACTCTCTGGTCCCCGTGGGGCCTGGGTTTGCGCACTGTCCCAATGGAAGTATTATCTTGCTCTAACAGAGGCGTACCCAGCGCGGTGGGAGGAATTCTAAGAGTCAGCGGCCAGGGCCCGCCTCGAAGCTGTCACTCTCCGTGTGTGACCTTGATAGACGGACCCTGACCCTGCTGGGACGTCACATCCAAGATGAGAAGCAATCGAAGAGGTCTCAGCCCTCCCCACCTGGCACCCACCACCTCACGCCGTGCACACCCACTCCCGCAGCCCCACGGAGCCCACGCAGCGCACGCCGCACTCGGCGCGGCCCCGCCCCCTCCACGCGCGGCCCCGCCCCCTCCACGCGCCGCCACTCCCACGCGTTCTGCCCCGCCCCTCCAGCAGGGCCAAGCCGCTTCAAAGATGCATCCTCCGGGCCGCCTAGGCCACTGGGCTTCCTGTCCCTCCTGCCTCCCCGCGCTACCTCCAGCTTCCAGACAGGGGCCTGCTCCGCTGCTCACGCTCACCTACAGCTCCGGCTCTGATAACGGCTGCTCCCGCCGACACCTCCAGCAGCTAGTACGCTCTACGACTTCCGCTTCCGGGTCGCTTCAGGAGCCGCCCTAAAAAAATTCCAAGTTGGGTATGTCTAGCTATTGAGGGCCATAGAGTTGAGGCTCAGCCGATCTCTACGACATCCACACTAATAGCTGCTTTCCGGTCGCTCGCCGGAAGCAGCCCTGCCTTCTACGGTCTTGTTTCTCGGGCAACCCTTCGCGGCTATGGAAGAGAGGCCCCCGAGGAGAGTACTTCCTTTTGTTCCCGCCAGGCAATCGGAACTCAAGGACTTCGGTTTGGCTGAGCGGTTCGAGGGAGAGAAGAACTGACAAAGAGGCGGGACATCCGGAAGGCGGCCAAGAACCCCGGAAGTACAGCTCTTGGCGCAGGGTTTCTTAGACCCTCGTCTCCCTCCGACTCGAGTCTTCCTCTTTCCGGCTGGCGGATTGAAGTCTGAGTGTCAGAGCCAACCGTCACCACCGTCGTGACTAGTGGCCAGTCCCATTTCGTTGCTTTTGCTCTCTCATACCGGAAGTGAGTCGAGGACGAGTATCTTTTGAGTGTCAACCTGGAAAAGGGAGGTTGCTTACCTAGCGCGGGGCCGGTGAGTACCGTGGTTGGTCGTTTTCCTCTGGGGTCGAGGGACGGCACTTAAAGATGGTGTGTGAACGTGTCCTTGAAACGCTTGGTGGTACTGGCTGTCTTCTCAGTACCCAAGTGTGGCAGGTGGCGTAGACCAAGCCTTCTCATTCTTGGCTTGGGCCGTGGTGATGGTCACCTAATAACCTGTGCCAGTAATGTTAGGAGATCGAGCCTCTGCTTGGGGTTACGGTAGACTAGGGGTGTAGGAGGTCTCAAACTTTCAGAGAGGGTGCCTGATGAGTGTCCTGGAACGTGTGTATTCTTTCATCATCATTAGTCTGTGACAGTTGCTGATCTCTTACGGCATGCCCCGGACTGAGGGCTTTTTCATGATCTAGCCTTATTTTTAAGTACTTTTAGTGTTTTTATTTATTTTTTGTATGTGAGTGTATTGCCTGCATGTATGTAAGTGCATCCGTGTTGTGAAATGCCTGCAGAGGTCAGAAGTGGGTGTTGGGTCCTGGAACTGGAGTTAAGGATGGTTGTTATCTGCCATGTGGGTGCTGGGAAGTGAACCGTCCTCTGCAAGAGCAGCCAGTGCTCTTAACTGTTGAGCCGTCTCTCCAGCCCCTTGTTTTGTTTTATTTTATTTACTTATTTTGGGTTTTTTGAGACAGGATCTTTCTCACCATGTAGCCTTGCCTGACCTGGAACTTGACCAGGCTGGCCTTGAATTCAAAAAGATCTACTTGCCTCTGCCTCTGGAGTGCTAGGATCAAAGATATGTGCCACTGCGCCTAACCTGATGTCATTTTATAGTAGTACTGAGTTGTTGTTTTTCTCTGGGGTGAAATAGCTAAGGCATGTTTGAATCCATGTTGTTGTTTTTGAGACAGGGTCTCACTGTGTGGCCCTGCCTGGCTTAGAACTTGCTATGTAGACCAGGCTGGCCTCTATAACTCTTGCCTCTAACTCCTGAGTGCTGGGATTAAAGGTGTGTGCCACCGCACCCAACCTGTCACTGACTGCCTCTGCCTCCCGAGTGCTGGGATTAAAGGTGTGTACCACTGCACACACTGACTTTAAAGCTCATATGTTTAACAGGACACTGTGGCACTCTTCACTATAAAGCTGCCTACCTTGAAAGCAGTCCTGGCTTTTAAGACTGCCACCCAAACAACTCAGGAAGAGGAACTGATAGTCTGTGCATCCTAACAACACTGGACAGGACCCAGTATGTCTCAGGCCACCAAGAGGAAGCATGTGGTGCAAGAGGTGCTTGGGGAGCACATGGTGCCCTCTGCCCGACAGCAGATAGTGAAGGTGAAAGCATTGGCCCAAGCTCTGTCCTCCCCTCTATTCCCACTGGACCCCTAGGGTTGGGGTCGGGGTCAGGGCGAAGGTACAGTACAGGTGAGAGAGTATTTAATCTAACTAATGAGACTGACTTCCTGGACCAGGTACTCAGGACTCCAGGGAACAATCTGCATGAGGTGGAAACAGCACAAGGGCAGCGTTTCCTGGTGAGCATGCCCTCCAAATACCGGAAAAACATCTGGATCAAGAGAGGTGAGAAGCAGCCCTTAAGCAAAAACCATTTAAAATAGCTTTGGTTTATTCCTTTTACAAGCAGAACAAGCTTTTTATCTTTTCTTAACCTACAGGAGACTTCCTCATTGTTGACCCTATTGAAGAGGGAGAGAAAGTGAAGGCTGAGATCTCCTTTGTACTTTGCAAGGACCATGTGCGCTCTCTGCAAAAGGATGGTCTCTGGTAGGGTGATCTTCCTGGTCAGTGGCCTTCCATCTTCTGGGGAGACTGACTTTCTGGCAAGGAAATTGGGGGAGAGGTCATGCCATCTCAGGCAGGACACCTGGAAACAGCTCTTTGGCTGAGAGGTCTCTTTATACTCTCTGACTAGTTCTTCTCTTGGCACAGGCCTGCGGCCTTCTCTGAAGAGGCTGAGAAACACAGCAGTGTGAACAGGTAAGGAGCAAGCCCAGGGCAGGGAAGACAAATAACCAGTTCACACCTTGGTGTCTCAAAGGGAAAGCTGATCTTGCTTTTCTCTTTATTTAGAGCATTGATGAGGATGCCAAAATATATAGTAGAACGCGTAGTTAAGAGACCCAAAAGAGTTGTTATAGTTCCTAGTGACTCCAGTGGAGGGGTGGGGGCAGTTCTCAGCCTCTTTTTTGTTGGCTTTTTTTTTTTTTTCCCCCCTTTGGCCTTTTTTTTTGAGACAGGGTCTCCTTGTAGCCTCAGCTGGCCTAGAACTCTCTCTATAGACCAGGCTGGCCTCAAACTTTAAAAGATCTGGCTGCCTCTGCCTCGCAGGTACTGAGACTAAAGGCGTGTGCTACTATACTTGGCTCAAACTTTTTTTTTGACCAAATTTTCCTGTTGTTTGCTCTGACTCAGTCCCTCTTTTGTTTCTTTTTGTTTTATGAGTGTATTGCCGCATGTGTAAAAGTGCACCCATGTCATGCAGTGCGTAAGGAGGTCAAAAGTAGGTATCAGATTCTCCTGGAACTGGAGTTATAGATGGTTGTTAGCCATCATGTGTGTGCTGGGAACTGAACCCAGGTCTTGTGCCAGCCAGTGCTCTGAACCACAGCCATCTGTCCAGCTCTCGTTTATTTCGTTAGACAGGGTCTCACTACATAGCTCAGGTTAGCCTTGGACTTACTGTCCCCTGCCTCAGCCTACCCAGCACCAGGCATCATGCTTTGGGGCTCTTACATTTTCAGAGACCTGTGGGTTTAGATTACAGATCTGGTTTCCCCAGAAAATGTTGCTTACTCTGTCTTCTTCCTCATGCAGACAGAATCAGCCAGAACTCTCAGCTGAGCCACAGTTGTTAGAAGAGTCGGGTTCTGAAGATGACTCTGACCTCTTTGTTAATACCAATCGCAGACAGTATCATGAGAGTGAGGAGGAGGGTGAAGAGGAAGAAGAGACAGCCTGAAGCCCCAGGACTCGCTTCTTTACTTGCTCAGGGACTACACCTGGCTTCTCTGGGCTCAGACATTCCCAGGGCAGAACTTTTCCTTTGGATGGGGACAAGGCATGGCCCCTCTAAACTGACCTAGAAGAATTAAACCCCTGGTGGGTGATGACTTTACTGGTGTCAGAATGGCTGTCTCTGTGGAGGGAAACTTGTGGAGAAGTAAAGCCCTATTCCTTGGTGGAGGTCTTGGCACCTGTGGGCACACAGGGATAGGAATGGAATTGACTGGAATCTGTTACATGTGTTTTGCTCACAGTCACTCTGGGCACTTAGTGCCTCACCTGGTGCACTGCCTGCTTACATGTACTTGACAAACAGCAGTCTTACTTCTTTACCTCCTTACTTTTTTAAAAAAATATTTTATTATTTTTATTTTATGTGTATGTGTGTATTGCCTGCATGTAGATAAGTGCATCTGTGTCGTGCAATGCCCGCGGAGGACAGAAGAGGCCACCGGATCCCCTGGAACTGGAGTTATGGACAGTTGTTAGCTGCCATATGGGTGCTAGGACTTGAACCTGGGTCTTCTGCAAGAACAACTAGTGTTCTTAACTGCTGAGCCATCTTTCCAGCCCCATACCTCCTTACTTTTAACAGTGACTCAAGCATTTAAGGTTGCAATTTAGACCTACTACTCACCTGCCTCTAAGCATAGCTCAGGGAAAATCCCATGGTGTGTGTGAGCTGTTTCCTGCCTTTCTGGCCAGCCCTTACAGCAACAGTGCTTACTACTGCTACATATAAATAAGTGCCCATGGGCCCCATTTCTCTCCCTAGCAAGCTGTCATCTCTAGAATGTGTGTGTATGGTCAGGATATCTCTATTGCCATCTTCTTATTTTCTTTGAATTGTTGCAACCTTATCCTATAATTTATTATCATTTAATTTATGAGAAAGAGTCTATCTAACCTGAGCCTTGCTTAGAACTCGCTGTGTAACCTAGGCTGGCCTCAAACTCAAAGGCAGCTTCCTGCCTCAGCCCCCAAAGTGTTGAGATTTTATTTGTGAACCAGTCAAGCAAATGAATAGAGGCTGCTCTTTCACCCTCACCCCAGCATAAGGTAGGGTTGGTAGCTTTTTTGGGGTGACCTGGACCATGGCTTCCTACTGCTTCCTTTTGTTTATTTCAAGCAGGTCTCAGCATGTTGCCTCAGGTCCGGCGATTTCTCTGCCTCATTTGAGTGCTCACTGCACTGTGCACACTCAAGAACTGTGTCCTTCCACTTGGAGGCTTACACTCTTCCCTACACTGCTATCATTGGCTTAGCCACTGCTCAGTCCTAAAGAAAGTCTTCCCCTGCTTGTCATTTGCTACGTACCACAGTGGCACTCAGCCCTGTGGCCCTGGTCCTTGATGTCCAACATGAATATCCTGTCTGTTCCAAGCTGCTGCCTACACTCTACTCACTTTGGACCTCTGTTGTGTGACACTGTTCTTGGGGAGATGTGAACAAATGTCTCCTCACCCTAGATAGGGAGACCAATGACAGATCACAGAAAGGATACCACCAAAGTCCAGCTTGGAACCAGCGAGTTTCATTGGGGTTTCTTTTTTGCGGGGGGGGGGGGGGGGTCTTTTTGAGGCAGGGTCTCCCTGTAGCCCCAGCTGTCCTGGATTCACTATAGAGACTGGGCTGGCCTCAAACTCACAGAGATCTGCCTGCCTCTGCCTAGAGTGCTGGGATTAAAGTCATGCCCCACCATGCCTGGCCTTGAACTAGATTTTTTTTTTTTTTGTCTTTTTGAGACAGGGTCTCCCTGTAGCCAGCTCCAGCTGGCCTGCAACTCCCTATGTAGACCGGGTTGGCCCTGAACTCACAGAGATCTGCCTGCCTCTGTCTCCCAAGTGCTGGGACTACAGGCATGTCTTTATTTTTTAATTGTTTATTACTTTGTGGATGTGCCATGTCACACATGGAGGTCAGGACAACTCTCCTTCCATAATGGGTTGTTTAAAGGCCTGTGCCACCACACCAAGCTTAAGTAAAATTCTTAACCATGGAGTTGGGGATGTAGCTCAGTGGTAGAAAACTTCCCTAATATGTGTGAGACCCTGGGTTCAGTCTCTAGCATTGCCAAAAAAAAAAAAAAAAAAAAAAAAAAACTTAAATGTCTATAGAATGTACTGGCTTCAATATTCAGAGAAGCCACATTGGTATAGAGCTTTGCCTTATAGTTGGAGGCAGGAGGTCAGCATTTTATCCTTGGCAGTCACCCAGGTATACTCAGAAGATAAATGGGTTACAGGAGCCTGGATTTGTTTGTTTTTGAGTCAGGGTCTCCCAGTAACCCAGCTGGCTTAGAACCCACTATGTAGACCAGGCTGGGCTGGATCTCGGAGTGAAGGCATGCACCACCACACCCAGATGGTGATAGGTTCTTAACCTGGGCATCACTGTTCTAGCAAATCATGTATAGGATGAGTGTTTTTCTCCTTGTATGCAGAAGGCTCCTACTTAACATCTTGGTGAGGAAGCGCAAGCAGTTTCTAGTGACTGCTTCAGCTTGCATTCTAGAAGCTACCAGCAGGGGTCATAATAAGCACATCCACCCAGCAAGTCAGCTTCTTGCTAGGTGGTGAGGTGGGGGCATTAGGTTTGCAAAATAGAAACACTACCCGCCAGGGTGAGCACCTGTGGCGAACTTGCTAACAGGACACCCAAGTACCCTTAGGACAGACAGCAAGAGCAAGGGAACAGGAGGCTCTGCCAGCTCTGCAGCAAAGGCGTTGTGGAATGCAGCACGTGGGGCTTTATGGGGTCTGGCTCAGGGTCCCTGGGCCAGCTTCCTTCAGTGTTTTGGGCAACAAATGAGACACCTTTATTGGTGCCTGGGGACTTTCATAGCCCTGCCTTGAGCTTGTGCGTGCTGGCTGGGTCATGAGAGGTCAAGGTATAGAAATCAGTCAAGGGGGCTGGAGAGATGGCTCAGCAGTTAAGAGCACTGACTGCTCTTGCAGAGGACCCAGATTCGATTCCCAGCACCCACATGGCAGCTACGAACCGTCCTTAACTCCAGTTCCAGGGGAATCCAAAGCCCTCTTCTGACCTCCATGGCATTGCACAACACAGGTGCACTCACAGACATGCAGGCAATACACTCATAAACATTTTTGAAAAAATAAAATTAACTTCTAAAAAGGAAATCAGTCAAGAAGGGGAGACTGCAATTTTGGGCAAGTTCCACATCGTGGAAGAATGTATCGCTAAGGCGTCGTCAGCTCTCCTTCCACATCCTGAAGCTAGAGCTGTGTCAGGTGCACTTGGAAGGGTGATGGGGATCTGCGAGGGTTCTCTTTCAGTTGTTTTTTTTGTTTTGTTTTTTTTTTAGTATTTTTATTTTATGTGTATTGCCTGCATGTAAGTGCACCTGTGTCATGCAATGCCAGCAGAGGACAGAAGAGGCTGTCAGATCCCCTGGAACTGGAGTTACAGACAGTTGTTAGCTGCTATGTGGGTGCTGAGAATTGAACCCGGGTCCTCTGCAAGAACAGTGTTAACTCTGAGCCATCTCTCCAGCCCTTGACTTTTTTTAAAATGTGTGTTTTGACTGTATGCCTGTAAGTGTACCATGTGCATACAATGCCTTCGAAAGCCAGAAAAGGGCCAGATCCTCCTGGACCTGGAGTTACTGTTGTTAGCCTCCAGGCTTAGAACCAAACCTGGGTCCTCTGCAAGAGAAGGCAGTGCTCTTAACCGCTGAGCCCTCTCTCCAGCCCTGCTCCACTTTTAATTTTTTTTAAATTGATACTGTTTTTTGGGGGGGTGTCTTTTTGAGACAGGGTCTCCCCGTAGCCTCAGCTGGCCTGGAACTATGTAGACCAGGCTGGCCTTGAACTCACAGAGATCCTCCTGCCTCTGCCTCCCAAGTGCTGGGATTAAAGGTGTGAACCACCATGCCTGGCCTTGAGACATTTCTATTTTATGTATGAGTGCTTTGCCTGAATGTGAGTGCACCTGTGTTGTGCAAAGCCACAGAGGCATCAGATCACCTGGAACAGGAGTTACAGATAGTTGTTAGCTGCCTTGTGGGCACTGGGAATCAAATCCAGGTCCTCTGGAAGAGCAGCTGGTGTTTTCAATTGCTGATCCATCTCTACAGCCCCAATTTTTTTTTCAAGACACGGTCTCTCTATATAGCCCCCCCTCTTGTGTTTTTAAGACTGGGTTTCACTATATATCCTGGGCTGTTCTGGAACTTGTTATGTAGGCCAGGCTGGCCCTGAACTCACAGAGATCTACCTGCCTCTGCTTCTTGAGTGCTGGGATTAAAGGTTTGTGCCACCATGCCCTGCTTTCTTTCACTTTGAATGTGCCCAAACTGATGTGCAGGAGACTCAGCCTCTGTGGTGGGTATCTGCAGACAGGTTTGCAAACCCCCTACTGAACTTTGCTTTAGACAGTGGCTTAGCTGACCCTTCAGTTGTCTTCTGAGGACTTAGGGCCATGGATCTCTGTAAAGCAGGCAAAGGGCATGCAGGCTTAGAACTGCCACCTCTGAAGGGACCATCTCACACCACAGGCCTCTTTACAGCATGCTTTTAAAGATCACCTAGCAACTACCGGAACCTTCAGACTCTGCCCCGTCTCCTGTCATCTGCCTCTTGAAGCCTTCAAGTGCCTTCCTCTTCCACTTGAGCCCTAGCCACTGTGTCTGCCAGGATCTGTGGTAGTCAGACAAGGGTCTGTTTTCAGTTGTACTTACCAACTCTGACCAGGCTTGCCTTGCTGAGCAGGCAAGTCCTGACAGGAGTCCTGACCACCTGTCTTTCACCTTCTTGGTTCCCCTTCATTATGATGAGGGCTGACAAATCAGTCAGGTACAGCATATATTGATCTGTTTTGGTTGTTTGCCCCAGAGGAGCCAAAGGCCTAAAGTCAGTATGGGCAGGCAGTATGTATCAGTCCTTAACCAGGTGGGGTGGAGAGGAAATAGGCAAGGCCTGTCAACGCTCAAAGGCTTAAATGTGAGGCTGAGGTATTTCATAAACAGGCATGAAGTTTATCAAGTTTAGTGATGGAAGCTGGACATTGTGGCACATGCCTTTAATCCCAGGCCGAATGAGATCTAGGCGAGCCAGTACAGGAAGACATCTCAAAAAATACAAAATAAAACACCAAACTCCTTTCTACCCTGCTTCCCCCCTCATAATACAAGGTGTGTAACTTCATAGCCAGTAAAAATATAAAGGTATTGGCGCATGCGTCTCTAATCTGTATGTATCT